CATAAATTTGAAGGTCTAAAATAATTATATAGAGTCGGCACACCTAAAATGTCGACAAAGAGCAGAACGTATGAAAGCCAGTCTTGTAGGATTCATCAGATGCAACGGCTTGAAAGGCCCTTCAGGATCCCACCTACACATATCAGAATACCATCAAAGTTACAGATATATACTCAAGTTCTTTCATCAATCTAAGAAGAAACACATATATAAAAAAATAGAGAAAACTAAATCTTAAAGAAGGTGAACGTATTTGAATCAGCGCGTACCAAGAATCAGCAATAGCGGCGAATTTGGCGAGTTCAGGCTCCTTCAAAGACGATGAGTTCTTGCGTAACTGGTGAGGACCGGCGGTGGCATTAGTATGGGATCGGGCGTTGTCAGTTGAAGAAGTGGAAGAAAGCAGACGAGCAAAGAATCTGAGATCGAAGAATGAAGTTGTAAACGGCGATGGGTTTATTGAGCGAGACCGTAGCTGCTCCGCCAGCTTGCGAGACATTCTGCCGGTGTTTGATCGTTTGGATTCAGCAACTTCAGGAATTTCCAGTTTCCGCCATTGTTAAACTGGGATCCCTTGCTACTTCAACTGGGCCGTTTAGATTTAGCTGAATTGTCGAATTGGGCTTTTCTGTCTCCATGACGATGGATTGTTTAACACTAATTCATAATATTTGTTGAGTATGTTCTTAAGATTTAATGCAACTTATTAACTTCTAAAATGGAATTCTACTTTTAAAATTTTAAAATTAAAAATGCAATGTTTTATTTACAATATAATATTTTATTTCACTCGTAGATATTCAAACTTAATCTCTATTTAAAAATATCACTTAATTAGTTAATAGAAACAAATATAATATATTAAATAAATAATAAAATAATTTACTAATTAATTAGAACTAACTTATATTTACGGTATAATGAACTGCGTACAATTACTTTAATGAGTTTAGTTTTAATTTAATTAAGTTTTATTTAAATTAACCCATTTTAATTAATTTTAATCTTATTCAAGAATAAATTTAACACGTATTATTATTATTTATATTTTTTTCAAATAAATCATAAGCAGCTCGTTATAGAGTACATATGAACTTTTGAAGTAAGTAACGAGTTTTAAAAGTATTCTTAGAATAATTATTAATTATATTTATAAAATATGTCCATTTTAAAAAAATAAAAGCATATTTTTTAGTAAAAATAATTTATAAAATTTGAGACTAAATTTAAATTTTTAATAAAAGTGATCAACGACTCAAGTCTTTACAAATATTTATAATTTTTTGATTACCTATAAAAACTCAATCAAATTTTAAAATAACACAATTTTAATTTAAAATTTTCACCCAATTACGCACATGTAATATATTTTTTGACAATCACAGTATTATTATAACTCACTCCATTAAGTTTGCCGTAATAAAACTCAACAATTACGCCTCCATTAAGTTTGTCACCATTGGGTTCTAACAATTTCATCTCCATCTATCAAAACAACCAAAAGTATTTCAACAAAAAAGTAAGCACATGATCTACAACAAAAAACTTACTTTTTTTTAGCTCGAAGCGATGACAAATATTTTCTTTATCTATCGTTTGATTCTTAAGTAATTTCCACCACTAATTCTTATCAGTATCAATAAACGCAATTATAGAAGGATTGTCACACTCAACCTACCTTCATTGATCGATTAAATTCATATACTTTGTATTTTTGAAATATAATTATATGATGAAAACATATTGTAGTTTTTCTATAAATAAACTCCTATGCAAGGCTGTTCATCTGATTCTTGATGAAAATAAATATGGTTTGCTCTGTTAGATGCTTCTACAATTGAAATACATTTTTATGATAACTGAATTCTGTCAAGTCACGTTATTAGCTTTTATAACAATGCAATTTATGTCCTACAAATACAAGCGGAGCAAAACCTTGGATCCTCTGAAACCGGTCAAAAATACAAACTGGAAAAAACCAAAAACAAAAAGTGTTACATTTTACAGGGCAACGCAACAGGAGATATTCACCCACAACCATCTTTCTTTGATTGACCAGGTAAGAGCAGAAATTATGAGAGACCAGAAATGTGAATCACTAACCGAAATAAATACAATTGTTATTTGTGTTTAGGGAAAATTTTTCAAAAGCTTGTACTCGTAGACATACTCACCTTCTGCCTGCATTCCAGCAATATACCGCTATTACACCACCAAAAAACCACAGTTCAGCCAATCCGATAGG